CCAACTGTTTAGATCATGGTCAATTTGAGTTTTAGCTAACTTGATTTTGTATTATTATCTTTCATCGATTTAGACTTCATTTATGTGTCTCTATTGTTTATCGATATGAACTTTAGGTCGTGGGCCAATCAAAAAATGTTTTTATATATGATTTACTATTTTCTTTCGTTGTGGGATTCATTGAATTCCATTTAAGTAATTGAAAACTAAACAATCTTCTTTATTAATTACAAGGGAATAATATCATATGATGATCATTAGATTTATTGATTACTTGATTAGAAATTGGCCACATTTGATTTTCCTACATTGAATGCAATATTGATGACCCATGTGCTAACGCCTAATACCTAACCCGACACCATTTGAGTGGTGTGTGAAGAAAGAGCCCACCTCAATCTACAATATTATATTTATTTATTCAAATGCCTATTATTCTTTTATCCCTTGCTCTAATTGTTAAAAGTTTATCTATTTTTTTAATAAATTTATTATGAGGATTTATTACGATATAGAATATATATAATATATATTGAAAATTTTCCCTTTTCATTCATGACAAGATAGGGGGTGACTTGCAATTGCACTACCTCCTCATATTGCGCCAATGCATGCACAAAAAGATAATTCTATATATCGAGTTGTTTTATGCTATATTCGATAAATTTTATTGAAAAATAGATTTAATTATATTTGTGTGATTGTATGCAGATCTATGATAAAATACCAGCTACCAGGGGTGGTAAACGAGCCGAGCCGGCTCGTGAGCTCGACGAACCGGCTCGTAAAAAGCTCGAACTCGGACTCGAGGTTTTCGAGCTCGAGCTCGAGCTCGCGAGCTCGAGCATTCTGACGAGCCGAGCTCGAGCCCGATTTTAGTTGTTCATCAGCTCGCGAGCCGGCTCGCGAGCCGGATTTATTAATATTTTTTTTATTTTTTTTATTTTTTATATGTTATTTTTATTTAAAAATGTATAATAATATAAAATATTATAGAAATAAATACAAATATTAAAAAAATATATAATCACAATTTTGTGTTTATTTTGTAATTTTTTAAAATATTTTTTAATAATAAAATAATAAAAAAATAATATTTAAAAAAAGAAAAAAAAAAAAGGGATTGGGCTCGAGCTCGAGCTCGAGCTCGAGCTCGACAAGATTAACACGAGCTCGAGCTCGAGCCAGAAAAAAGAAGAACTCGACGAGCTCGAGCTCGAGCTCGAGCTCGACAAAATAAACTCGAGCTCGAGCTCGAGCCAGCCAAAAGAGGCGAGCTCGGCTCGTTCACACCCCTACCAGCTACCAACAGTCATTGTAATTCACCATCATGTGTAACATCGAACTTATGCTTTAGATGATGAAGTTAGATATTTAAATCTGCACGATTAAAGAGGAAATAGTTATAAGAGCATATATTTTAAAAAAAAAATTAAGGAAATTTAAGATGATATTTATCTTTTAAAAAATATATAACTTTTTAATGTGAAAAAAGTAAAAATAAGAATTTATATTGCCAACTTGGATAAGTTTTATTCATGCTTGCCGTAGGCATAATATTACTAGCATGAAAAAAACATCAAGTCAAATCATGTCTCCTTTAGTTGAACTTCATATTACTATACCCTTTACTTTATGTCAAAATTTTTAGCGACTTATGAAAAATAAAGAAATAAATAAAGTAAAAATAAGTGAAAAGATATGAGTAAAGGTGCTGCAGTTTATTCAAAAGTAAAAAGGATGACACTTGTCGATCTATGATATATTTATATTTTAACAATTTATTAGTATTAACAATTAATTCATAAATTATCAATTTGTGATAATATTATTATTCTTAATATATAATATAATAAGTAATATAAATATGGCGGCCCAGCGTGTGTGTGGGGTAGGTGGGCCGACAAAAGCTGCGAATAGTCACAAGGCCCCGGAGCGTGCGGCCTGCCTTTTCAGTTCTGTTTTTCTTCATCCCAACTGAATTTCCCCCTTTTTTTTTTTTTTTTTTTTATTTATTCTATTTAATATGAGTTTTTTTTTTTAATTAATATTTATTGTAGAACTGTAAAATTTGTAGACAATTATTAAACTACAGTTCAGATCATTTCCATAAAATAAATTTGAGGTTAATTGTTGCGTGTGCACTATCTACATCATAACAAGTCGTTAGGGTGTCGGGATTAGTTCCCGCGAAAATCCTTCCATGCTCAAGTGCGCTTTGTATGATAGAAGAATTCAGATAATTCAAGAGACTGTTCGGGAGAGCGAATTGCATACCTTTGATTGTGCGGTTTCCAGGTATTTATATGGAGACATATATTTTCATGGGCCTAAACGACTCGACTTGAGCTTGATTGTTTAGATTATAGTCAGTTTAGATCTTAGCCGACTTGGACATATAATATTATCTTCAATCAATTTGGGTTGCATAGAGTCAACTATGGACTTGTCGATATTGGCATGAGGACGTGGGTCCATCAAAAGTGTTTAAGTACAGTAAAATTTGTATAAACGAACTACACACATCTTTAAAGTAAATGAAATGATATATACCGCTGACGATTAAAGAAATTAAATAGTAAATATGGAATCAAATTCAACTTTTCGATTAACTTCTGAATTTCGCGAGCTTGAGTCAACTGGTGCCAATTAATTTGAGTTGTTATTTAAGTTTGGCTAATAATAGATAGATATGGTATCAAAATTCACTAATTCAAAGATTAGTGTATTATTATAATTACAATGCATAAAGATGCAATAACACAAGAATTGGATTCGCACGCTTATAAATTAGACCACTAAGCCGTGAAAACCGGACATTTTAACATATGACGTCATACGCATAAATCATTAGTTATGAATCCTAATCACTCTTAGCGTGTACTTCTCTTTTCTCCAAATTTCACTAAATAAATAACCAAATTATTAAATTTAAAAAAGAAAAATAAAAAATAAAAAATTAGGAACCCTTTTTAACTATGTAATGAAAAGATGACGAAATAAACCACAAATTAAATGTAAAGGGAAACATTTTTTATTTATTATTTTATTTAAATTAATGAAATCAACAATGGTGAATATATAGTTTGGCACATGATTGCTCAATATTCTTCAACGGGACCAAAACACACTTCATTAATTAAAAAGAAAAAAATGTAATTTAAATAAATAAATATTTTAATATATATATTCTTGGATATTGTTTAAAGAGAAAATAGCAGAGCATGTTACTTGCTAATTAATAGAATCTTGTGACGGATTCCAGACTTTGTAATAAATTTCATGTCACATATACTTTTAAGTAACTAATTACCATTAATACATAATTAATCCAATCTTATTTTATGGAATTAAAATTAATTACTTTAAGATGAGTAATCAAAGAATGAATTAGTGTAAAGATAAAAATAATGTCTTGAAAGAGCAAAACACGGAAGGTAATTTCGTAATTTGTTGAACCTCGTCCAGTTGGCATCATGTCGGTCTGTTCTGTTCTGTTCTGTTCTGTTCTTCACCCAAATACACACGCACACGCCTATATTATTATTTTTTTTTTTATTTTTATTTTTATTTTCCGGGCCAAAGCTCAAATCCCTTTTTATCAAAAAGGATTTTATAGAAAGATTATAACTTTTTCGAAAATGCTTATTACAAATTACAACTGATAATAATAAGACTTCTTCCGCTTTTCTGCTGGTGTCGGATTTTCCGGCGAGTTCTAAGCTTTCCCTGCCTCCTCCTCGCCGCCTTGATTCCGGAATCTCCGCCCCAGCTGCATCTTAAAAGGATCCCTTCATCTACGCCCACGTGGCATCTGGATTTGCGTTTTTTAAGTTCGCCGGACGTGATGCTGTACGGCGCCGGTCAGTCCAAACCTTCGACGGCCTAGTTCATTTTCCGGTGTGGGTTCGTGTAGTGTAGTGTAAGCGTGTTTTGGGCCCTTACGTTTTCAGCTTCAATTATGAAACAAGATTGAATCTTGGGCATATTTTGGAGATGAAATGGAAGTGTTTTTAAGGTTGTTTTTCTTCCGGTGAGTTTCCGAGAATGGCGGTTCAGATTAGTTCAGTTGGAAGATTGATTGTTGATTTGTGATATATATAGATGGTGGCTTATTGGGTAATTTTGTCGTACAGTTCATGGGCATTTAATTTTGCTTGATTGTAGAGAAAACTGAGGCTGTGGTTTTTGAAGGTTAATTTTTTTCCAGAATGAAGATTCCATCTAATGGATTTATGGCAACTGCAGGCGAAGGTCTGTTCGTCTTCGATCGATTCGATTCTGTTACATTTTTTCAATTCCAGTTCCGTAATTTAGTTTTGTCCCGAAATCGAATTTTGCATAACTCTACTGCTTTCGATTTTTAAGCACCCTTACATGCCTATATTATGTAGATCAAGTGTAAGAAAATCGTATTTATTGAGACGAAATGCTTAAAAAGAGCACCGACTTCGAATCGATCTTCGTCGCTGATTTTCGATTAACGAAATCAGCGAGTAAATCGGTTCACACATTTAAACAGAACACTGATTTTTTGTTGCATTTTCCGTTTTTTCCTCATTTCTAAACCCTCGATCCAATCACAGCCAAAGACGTGCGTCACGAATTGAATATTTATAGAAATAAAATTGTTTCATTCATTACAGGAGAAAAGAAGCTAATCAATTCGGAATTATGGCATGCTTGTGCTGGCCCGTTGGTTTCGTTGCCTCCCGTTGGAAGTCTCGTTGTCTATTTCCCACAAGGCCACAGTGAGCAAGTACGGTTTTCTCCTCGTCACACGATTTCCAAAATCTAATTTAGGACGTAATCGTTTTTTTCAGTTTCTTATGAATATGAAGATCTTTGTCTAATGTACAGGTGGCAGCATCAATGCAGAAACACACCGATGGCATCCCGAGTTATCCCAATCTTCCTTCCAAGTTAATCTGCATGCTCCGTAACGTCACTTTACATGTACGTCAACTCCTCTAGTCTTCATATTGAGAGGAAAAAATCTCGATATTACTCAAATCAATTAATTTTTTTTTTGTTCCTTTTATTAGGCTGATGGTGAAACCGACGAGGTCTACGCACAGATGACTCTACAACCAGTGAGCAAGGTCTCTTCCATCATTTACAACTACATTTCTATAATTATCGTGATTCGATTTTTTTTTTTATTTTTTAAATAATTTCAAGAAAATTTTATACAGTATGACCAGGAAGCATTACTTGTGTCTGATATCGGTCTTAAGCACAACCGACAACCGAGTGAGTTCTTCTGCAAAACTCTTACAGCAAGTGACACGAGCACTCACGGTGGCTTTTCTGTTCCTCGTCGAGCAGCCGAGAAGATCTTTCCCCCTCTGGTATATATATATATATATATATATATATATATATATATATATATATATATATATATATATATATATATATATATATATATATATATATATATATATATATATATATATATATATATATATATATATATATATATATATATATATATATATGTTTCGTAATATCATGCTTCTTGAGCTTATTAACAGAGAATATTCTTTTTCTAGGATTTCTCGATGCAACCCCCGGCTCAGGAGCTAACCGCTAGAGATTTGCACGATCAAACATGGACGTTTCGGCATATCTATCGAGGTATTTTATTTCCTTCTAGAAACTTCAACAGGTTCCATTTCATTTGACTTTTTGTAAAAAAAACTGTTCTTGCTTTGACCTCAGGTCAACCGAAACGACACTTGTTGACAACGGGGTGGAGTATATTTGTCAGCAATAAAAGACTCATAGCTGGTGATGCTGTCCTTTTCATACGGTATGTTATGTGTGTATATATATACAAGAAGATTCTAGAAGAAAACCCGTAATTCGATGTGTTTTAATCGCGATGAATTTTTGTAGGGACGAAAGGTCACAGCTGCTATTAGGTATAAGACGAGCTAATAGACAACAGCCTGCTCTTTCTTCGTCTGTTATATCTAGCGACAGCATGCACATTGGAATTCTTGCGGCTGCAGCTCATGCTGCAGCGAATAACAGCCCGTTTACCATATTCTACAACCCTAGGTATTAACTAATGAAAAAAAACTATTTTTTTCGTTCGGAAATGGAATATTCTCGAAGTTTCGGTTGCGGTTTGATAATAATAATGGTGATTAATGCTGACAGGGCAAGCCCTTCGGAATTCGTGATTCCGCTAGCAAAATACAACAAGGCGATGTACACGCAAGTGACAGCTGGCATGCGGTTCAGGATGATGTTCGAGACTGAGGAATCTGGCGTTCGGAGGTACATGGGAACTGTTACGGGCGTGAGTGATTTGGATACCGTAAGATGGAAAAATTCGCAGTGGCGTAATCTTCAGGTAATTAATAATTAATTAACACATTTTCTTTTTCGAGATAAAACTTACTATTTTTAGACATTAAACTTCTCGTTTTTTAAAGGTTGGGTGGGATGAATCGACAGCTGGCGAACGGCCTAGCAGAGTCTCGATTTGGGAAATTGAACCTGTTATTGCCCCTTTCTACATGTGCCCTCCTCCATTTTTCAGACCAAAGTTCCCTAAACATTCCGGTTTTCCAGGTAATTAAATAAATATTTCGTCTTAAAAATTTAAATACATATTGTATACTAAAAGAAATTCGTCACACGTTCTTGTTTTTTTTTTCCTTTTTGCAGACGATGGTTCGGATTTAGAGAATATATTTAAGAGAGGAATGCCGTGGAATATTACAGATGATTTCGGAATAAAAGATGCATCGAGCTCGATATTTCCAGGGCTGAGCCTCGTCCAATGGATGAGCATGCAACAGAATCAACAACAATCGGCCTTATTTCCTAACATGGTTTCGTCAACTCCTCCTCAACAGAATAACACCATTACTAGCACTAATGACCCTTCGAAACTGTTGAACTTCCAATCGAACAATGGAAACCAACAAAGTCAACAAATCGTCGGTCAAATCCAGCCATCGAATATAACGTGGGCGCAACAGCAGCAGCAAATTCTACACTCTCCGACAAATACTCAACACAATTTACAACAACAACAACAACAGCAACAACAACAACAGCAACAGCAGATTATGTTGCCTCAATCATCGAACAGCCTAAATTCCGACCATAATTCGCAACAGGCATCAATGTACTCCCAGGTTCTTCAACAGCAGCAGCAGCAGCAGATTCTGACAGGAAACGCTGCTCAGTTGCAGCAAACCGATCCATCGGCTAACAGAGCTACAGTTCCTTTTACATCCTTAACTCAAGACATGCTCTACCAGCAACATATCGGACAGCAACCGAATCTTGTCCAAAGACCCCAACAGCCTCAAAGGCCGCCACAAATACAGCACGCATCACCACCAAGTCTTTCTGAGCAGCAACTTCAACTGCAACTTCTCCAAAAGCTGCAGCAACAGCATCAACAGCAGCAGCATCAATTGATTTCTCCACAGTCGAATTCATTGGAAGCTCGAGTGAACCAAAACCAACAAGCCCAGCAGCAAAATAGTCTGCCTCCACCTCAGCGGCAATCTAATGGGAGCTGCTCTTCGGGACCCACACCACCAGTTGTCCAGTCGTCGTCTCACTTCCCAGTCAACCAATTTCCGGGCCCGCAAAAGACTCCGTTTTTGGACAGGGTTCGCTCTATCCACACGGATGGTGATGCCCCGTCATGTTCGAACTCGCCTTCCAAGAGCAATTTTCAGTTCTTGAGGAACCAAACCGAATCAGCCTCGTTGCTGGATAACCTGATTTATCCTCACGCTTCTTCTAATTTGGTGCAAGAGAGTCATCATCATAGCAAGATGGATAAAGCTGCACCGGATAATTTGAAATTCAAGGGTGGTGGTGGTGCTGCCGATCACTTGGATGCAGCTTCGTCTGGGATGCAGCTTCGTCTGTGTCTTCGTACTGTATGGATGCTCCGCAGCAGAGTTTTCCGTTGACGGGATTGGATGATGTTCAGTCGCATAGCAGGGGAAGTGTTCCTTTTACAACGAGTATTGACGGATTCGCCCCCGATGCTTTGCTGTCGAGGGATTACGATACTGGAAAGGATATCCAGAACTTGCTTCCTAATTACAATGGCAGTCCGAGTCATAATAATAATAATATTCAGACAGATTTGTCCTCTGGCATTAATTCTCAGTCTTTTGAGGTCCCCACTATGCCTTTTAATCCAGGCTCTTCGAACGATGGTGCTGCCATGAATGACATGGGCGTTCTGAATGGTGGGTTGTGGCCTAACCAAACTCAACGCGTGCGAACATACACCAAGGTATGTTCCTCTTATCTCTCTCTCTCTCTCTCTCTCTCTCTCTCTCTCTCTCTCTATTTTGCATGAGAAGTAGTTGTCTGATATTGTTTGGAAAACAAAAAGGTACAAAAACGAGGATCTGTAGGGAGAACAATAGACGTGACACGTTACAAGGGCTACGATGAACTAAGGCGTGATCTTGCTCGTATGTTTGGTATTGAAGGGTTGTTGGAAGATCCACAAAGAACAGAGTGGAAGCTTGTGTATGTAGATCATGAAAATGATATACTACTTGTCGGAGACGATCCGTGGGAGTAAGTATTGCTTCGATTTTTCCTCTTGTTCTTGTAATAAGGAACTACATTAGTACAGCAGCACAGCTTTATTACAACTTTTTTTTTCTTTTTTTTTTGAATAGGGAATTTGTGAGCTGTGTACAAAGCATAAAGATACTGTCTTCTGGTGAGGTTCAGCAGATGAGTTTGGATGGGGATCTTGGGCAACTGCCTGTCCCAAATCAGGCTTGCAGTGGTACCGACAGCGGCAATGCTTGGAGAGGACACTTCGACAACAATTCCGCCACGTCGTTCAATCGTTAAAACTGTTCTGTAGTAACTACTAAGTATCGACGCACGAGTTGAATTCTTTGTAGTAAGCTGCTGTTTGTTATAACCCTTTTTAAAAGTAGGCACAAGCTATGTAAATTTTGATCACTCATTTTTAGTTCTATAGATAGGTTCATGAGGACTTTGATGTAATCTCCGAAGTTTAGATTTTGATGAAAAAATGTTGTATAGCTTATCGAATCTGATGACAACTCTCAGTGGTTGATTTATATATTCACCCGCACGAATGACAAGAAACTAGCGAAATTTGTTTCGGCTTTATTTTTGCAGACAGTAAAAAAATAACCATGTCTAAATTACAAGAATGTTTTCATTTATATCCTTTCTTCTCCAGATATTTAAACAAAAATGAGCAGACTCGTAACCGTTTACGAAAGAATAGCCATCACGTCAGAGACCTTTAGCGCAACGTAATCCGAACCATCGACACCCTTGAAATCATTGCCCGCATATTTCGAGTACAAAACCGTATTTCCTGCAGCAACCGACAATGGACTCCTCTTCCCTTCCTCGTCAAAGGGGCCTGGGCCTACCGCGATAACCTGTATTTCAAGATAATAACCAAACCCTAAGTATATATTCGTTTCGAAAAAGGCATGGTCATATTTTAGAAACTTACTGTGCCAATTGAGGGCTTCTCTTTGCTTGCATCTGATAAGTACAGGCCACCGGCAGTTTTCGTTTCAGCCTCAGCTACCTGAAGAAAGAATAGGACGAAATAAATCGTAAAAATTCAGTGCCCCTCTAATACCTTCGTTTGAGAAAATTAACGAAATGGACGGAGGGCAAAAATCGGACCTTTATGAGAATTCGGTCGTTCAGAGGCTTCATGTCTTTGACATCATCCGTTTCTAGTGTACCGACAATGTCATCCTCCTTCAAGATGAGATGACTAGTTCCTTCGAATTCCACTTCCGTCCCTGCGTACTTTGAGTACACCACTTTGGCCCCAGCCTATACATACATGTATTGCGCCTAGTGAGTCTTGATATAATTGCAAACTAAATAAGTTCGATTGTGTAGTAGTACCTTCACACTAAGGTCAACTTTGGTCTTTCCGATCGCACGACCCTCTCCAACTGCAACTATCTCGCCCGATTGGGGTTTCGATTGTGCCGTGGTCGGTAGTAAGATACCGCCTGTAGTCTTCTCCTCAGCCGTCTTGGTTTTGACCAACACTCTGTCGCCTAACGGCTTTAGCGAAGTGTACTGCCCAAAAACGGAAAGTGCATAACATCGTAAGCATTTAGACACTCTATCGACGATAGAATTACATACTTAGGGGAAGTGGGAAAATTAGTAGGAACCAAATGGTCGAAAACACGACTCAATTGTTCAACGTAACACAAGTGAAGTATTATTGGGCAATTCTTTTGCATTTAAAATATCTAGGGCAATCACTGGGTACAGTATGACTACCAAATTCAAAACAGAAAAACAGGATACAACCAATAATAATAATAATAAATTATGAATTAACTGTATCGAATTGTACCTTTGGGGCAACAGTAGTAGCAGACTTGACGACAAGGGCGGCGCCGCGGCGGAATGAGCGGAGGGAGAGACAATTCTGGTTCAGAGGTGAAAAAGATGAGATTTTTACAGCCCTTAGACCTTCGAATGAAGTAAACCCCTTTGCTGAAATTGAAGATGCGGCGGAAGTGAGCTGCGTCGTTGCCATTTTTTCAATTTCTGAAAATTTAAAAATAAAATTAAAATAAAAAAAAACATAAGAACAGGATAATCGAGATAAAGAGCATAATAACGAAGGAGATGAAGTAGATATTAACCTTTAATTACGGAAGAAGAAAAAATGAGTGCAAAAGGAGTTTTAGGAAGTGGGTTGTGGTGTTCAATTGGAAAGAGGATAACAGAACCCTAGAAAGTTCTTTAATGCAAAACACACACAGGAAATATAAAATATATTATTAAAAAAATAAAATTAAAATATTAATTGGCTAGTTTCGGCTATTGGGCTTCTAAAACGTAAATCAGCCCATGGACTTTGCTTCTACAAACTCTATATGGGCCTTTATTATTTTATGTTTTTTGTTGTTTTTTAATGGCATTGTATTTCTAAAATTGAACGGGATTTGCTTTTTACCGTTTGAAAAAGGCTATTTACCGTTCAAAGATACTCTTTCTCTCTCTCTCTCTCTCTAAAAAAAATTGCTCTCTAGACGATTTCTTCACAAATCATTCTTATTGGTGTGATATACGAACATAAATGAGTTCATCGGATGAAGATCGGGATAGCGAACACAGCGAGGTAAAAATTCCGTGTTTTCGATCGAAAAAAATGGGCTAAAAATTCAAAAGCCCAACTTGGGCGCCCGACAATGCAGTGCACGCCCATGTTGGGCGTG